TGTGTGTAAGCTAGAGCATTTCTTATGTTTCTATATTAAGTAAGGTTTTCTTGCCGTGCTCCTGGACGTAATTGGCATCTTGGTAATAGGGCACATCTTGTATCAATGACTTCTATCGGATACAATTAAGACGATACCTTATATATAGGCGATACTTTTATTAATAGACGCTAAAACAATAAATAGTATCTCGGTTTTAAGTGCTGCAATTAAGACCCTTGACATGTTACACTTCTTGTGACTCTCATATAATCCTTGTATTCCATGTAGTGCATGACAATAATTTGATGTTAACATAGGATAATCCACGAGGTGAGTGTTAAAGTGGAGTTCTGGGAAGATTAGTACGTTATTGTTGTTAGGGTCAGAATGGTCATACTTAAAGCACGTCGTTCATTGTCAGTAAAATAAGTTGGGATTCCATTGTCTGTAACGAGAGTGTTTTTGTAAACTATGACTACGTATATTGCGGTATTCTAAGCAAATCATAGAGACCGCAGCAAGAGGAGCATATAACGGTATATAAACGGTAGACTGATGAAGTAATGAAGGAGTATATATAGTACGCTGAATTGAAGTTTTTACGTCAACTTACTTTAAATGTATTCTTCAGTGTTGAAAGATAAGAGAACAACAATTGCTAGACCCACACATCATGATAGCCCCGGGGAAAGAGCTTGCACATCAAGCTCTTGTATTGGTGAAACACATAAAGCCATTTTATGTAAGCATGGCATTTAGTCCAGGAAGCAAACGCAAACAGTAGGTCTTTGTGTATGTAGGTAGACACGAGGAATGCACAGGGTGAGTGTGAGAAGCAGAAGTACGCGCCTGTATGTAGAGAGAGTTAAGGAAACATATAGTAGTTGTTAGGAGTAGAAAGAATGTGTAGAGAGGGCTGAGGAAACAGACAGTAGGTGTTGTGTGAAGGAAGGGTTGAGCACACAGATACCAAGCGTGTGCGTATAAGGTGAGTTGATTAACAAAGTAGAGGAGAAGTCAGTTAGTGAAGTAATTTGCAGGACGGTTGAGGAGTGTTTTACGTGCAGGTAGAAATAAGGAGAGGAAACATATAGTACATACGTGTAGGTGTTTTTATGCGGAGATGGCTAAGGAGAGGAAAGATATAGTACATACGTGTAGGGGTTTGTATGCGGAGATGGCTAAGGAGATGAAACATATAGTACATACGTGTAGGTGATTGTATGCGGAGATGGCTAAGGAGTGGAAACATATAGTACATACGTGTAGTTGTTTGTATGCGGAGATGGCTAAGGAGTGGAAACATATAGTACATACGTGTAGGTGTTTTTATGCGGAGATGGCTAAGGAGAGGAAAGATATAGTACATACGTGTAGGGGTTGGTATGCGGAGATGGCTAAGGAGAGGAAACATATAGTACATCCGTGTAGGTGTTTGTATGCGGAGATGGCTAAGGAGAGGAACGAGACAACATTCGTTGGGAGGAGTAAGGAGTTGTTGTTTGTATGAAGGGTTAGGGTGAGGTAAAAGACAGTTGGTGGTTATGTGCTGGGAGAGGAAGGAGAGAGAAAACCCCAGTAGGTGTTGATGTGCTAAGAGGGTCACTGAGAGGAAACACCCAGTAGGTGTTTGTGTGCTGGGAAGGTAAGGAGTGGAACCAGACAGTAGGTGTTTGTGTGCTGGGAGGGTAAGGAGAGGAAACAGACAGTAGGTTTTTGTGTGCTGGGAAGGTAAAGAGAGGAAACAGACAGTAGGTGTTTGTGTGCTAGGGGGGTCACTGAGAGGAAACAGACAGTAGGTGTTTGTGTGCTGGGGGGGTAAGAAGAGGAAACAGACAGTAGGTGTTTGTGTGCTAGGGGGGTCACTGAGAGGAAACAGACAGTAGGGGTTTGTGTGCTGGGAGGGTAAGGAGAGGAAACAGACAGTACGTGTTTTTGTGCTGGGAGGGTAAGGAGAGGAAACAGACAGTAGGTGTTTGTGTGCTAGGAGGGTAAGGAGAGGAAACAGACAGTAGGTGTTTGTTTGCTGGGAAGGTAAGGAATAGGAAACAGACAGTAGGTGTTTGTGTGCTGGGAGGGTAAAGAGATGAAACAGACAGTAGACGTTCTTTGCTGGGAGGGTAAGGATAGGAAACAGACAGTACGTGTTTGTGTGCTGGGAGGGTAAGGAGAGGAAACAGACAGTAAGTGTTTGTGTGCTGGGAGGGTAAAGAGAGGAAACAGACAGTACGTGTTTTTGTGCTCGGAAGGTAAGGAGAGAAAACAGACAGTAGAAGTGTGTGTGCTGGGAGAGCAAGGAGAGGAGACAGACAGTAGATGTTTGTGTGCTGGGAGGGTAACGAGAGGAAACAGACAGTAGGTGTTTGTGTGCTGGGAAGGTATAGAGATGAAACAGACAGTAAGTGTTTGTGTGCTGAGAGGGTAACGAGAGGAAACAGACAGTAGGTGTACTTTGCTGATTGGGTAAAGGAGAGGCAACATACAATAGGTGTTTGTGTCGGATGATGTGTATGTATTTAGAACTATGAGGAAGCAGACACGATGTACAATATATATCTACAATAGGATCTTCTCTGTATGAGTTTGTCAGGCCGGACGATATCACGGACTGACAAGTTTCATGTACAGTCTCATCTAGCTGTATTAGGACAAGGGGGAGCCTCACACACCTCTGCCTTGTAATACTATACCAACCCCGAGTGTTGCATACATTTACGCTAAAATCATAAGCTGTCCTACACACCAAAACTTCTATTAGTCTAGATGTCGTTTCCGAGGCTGAAAGCGTTATATAAGGTTTATTTTAATACTCTCACACATATATATGATGTGTACCGGGCAACCGTGGATTGCTTACCTGACTGTGGCTTTGTATTGTGAAGAGTATTGCATGGAAACCAATGAGTATTCAAAACTAAAAGCAGAAATAGATAAAATTATGACATTTTCTGATAAGAGATTCCATGTAATATAAGACTTTCCATCACATTGGCCTATATAGATAAGGACGAATCTACTCTATACACTACCCTACAACAGTTTAGCTATATACTCGGGACCAACACTCTGTCTAGTCACTACTCAGGAACCGTCTCGTGTAATAACTAATTAAAACGGCATAATCATACTAGACATTTAACGGTTTCCCGCCAGTACACAAAGGAATACTGTTTGGACGATAGAATCACATAGATGTACGAGCCTAGTGCTGTCCACTCTGTTTTCTATCCACGTGAACTTTTTGAAATGTGTTTCACGTGGTGTGTATCGACAACTGTTTCTATTTTGTTTTCTCCGATTTTTTCCTCTTCCCAGCCAAACGAAACGCTTTATTTGCCAGATTTCTGTAACAGAGAGAGATGTTTATGACGATTTTAAGGTCTTGGTGTAATAATGAGCTTCCCATCAGTCCAACACAAATATATGTGTCTGTACGCTATAGCTGCAATGATAGGAACGCAACCGCGGTTCTTACCAGCCTAGCATGGACCAACGGTACAAGTATAACTATACCTGGTTACTGAAGTATGAGATCAGTAAACGACTAATATTTACATTTCAACTTCAAATTGACGAGCAGTAATTATATATAACAGAAGAACAATTTAACACAACAACCTCTTCAGCTTACTGTATATGCCGATATCCTGTTGTACGTTTCAGGAATTCTGAATGAGCTGGAGTTCCTAGAAATTTCAATCTGGAAATATTGTTGTCATCGTGACCTCATTTTTAAGTTTAAAGATTTCTGTATCTATCATGGTGACCAACATTCTAAAATTTGACGGGAGACTACAAAAATGCTGCTCTTCTTTTGCGAGAAACACGCCCAGAACGCATGTTTCACCTCCATTTTGTGTTTATGCTATAGGTGTTTGCTTGTTTATTGCTATTTCTTTACGTATTTCACGCCGTGGTAGATTGTTTCCTTGTTTGTCCTTCGTAAACAGCACACTTAAATAACGAAACATTCCGTGCTTATATGTAATGCTGGAAGACAAAGAAGCGTAAACACTATCCCGAAACACAGAAGATGTACAGTATTTAGTGGATCTAAATGAAACAGTAACCGAAGAGACGTAAACGAATATACAGATATAAATCAAACATGTCAACCGTCCCACGGATGTAGTAAAATCAAGTCAGTCCGTTACGGATCTATTAATAGACGGGTGAGTTGACAGGAGATTATCAATAATATAGCAAATTTGGTTTTCGGGAACATTAAAATGTAAAATAAATCACCATCTCATAGCACCATCATGGTTGATATAAGCATTGTAGCAAAATATTCATTTACTGACGTAATCGAAGATGTAGCGTTTAGAAATGTGGGATTCACACTCATTACCTGTAGACCATTGCTTAAGCTACATTTGACAAAGTATTACATCCAAAATGTTTAACAATGGCAAAGATAAAAAACCCGTTTTTTTTCTTTCGAAAATGTGCCTATATTATTAGAGTGGAGAGGAGCGCATTAATGTTACCCCGAACAGTCCTTATCTTATGTTGAAGGAACGTTCGATTTGGGTAGGGTATAGGCTGACGTAAAGAAGAACATACCGTCGCCATAGACAGCTGCAGTCACAGACAAATCGCGCAATCTGATATCGCTTTTGCTATATTTGAAAACTGACTCTATTTTGGGGTTGCAGTTTGAGTTAAATACTGTACACGAAAACCAACTGCACGAATGTCTGCTCTTTATGAATTTAAGTTGAAACGACGTTTACAGCGGACCATTCACTGGTGATGTAAGAAAGGCGACGTCAACGTGTTGACTAACGCGGTCTGTGTTCTATCCAAATCTAGAAACTTTGCATATAAGTGTCTATCTTGTGACTCTTACTATCTCCGCAGTAGCTCTAGGTTCTGTGTGTTACTTATAGTACACAAAACTTCCGCTTTATCTATTCAGGAAGTACGTGTTTTTTTCTACATGTGGTGCTGAAATGATCTTATAAATCTTTCCAGCTCTCTATTTGAAGGGAATCACTTATCGGCTGCATACTTACGTCAGGTTCAAATTTACTACGAGGATTGTGGGTCTGAGATGAGTACGTGTGTTATTGTCCAACATAGCATAGCTGATGATGATGAACAGACAACGACTCCTTCAGGACATCATTTCACGTGGCTTACGGAGCCTCCGATACAACACTTGGTAGTCTCTCCATTCCACACGTATCTGTGTGTATAAAAAATAATAAAATCGTCAACATGATTAACCTTTCTTTGCTTACTTTGCCGAAAACATTCTAAGCGGTTATCATAGAAAGGTTTTGCTACCCAGGTGTTCGTGGAAGCCATGCAGGGGCGCTGCTAGATTACCCGAAACTATCCGCATATCAATCCCCGTAATACGTTCAAGTTCTTGTTTGTAAGAATAGAGGCGCTTCCATAGTAACCATCACCTACTGAGGTTGATAGAAATAGAACAGTATTTGGCTATCACTAGCACAGTGACTCGGGCGCAATCCTCTAGTGATATTTAATGTGCCAATAGACTTGGAATAGGCAAGACATTTGTAATAACTCGACAAAATACACCAATCCCGTCTAAATAAATGTAGATATGTCCAATGGCCTTATATCCCAATTATCCCTGATTTACAACAACAAAAACAAAAATGCACACTGAGGTAATTGTATGCGGGGTTCAGTATGATTTCAGTGTATTTGAGTTCTCTGGTTTAACCAATAAAACTCTGGCAGACATTACTGGTTCAGTTTGCTGACATGGATAGATGAAATGCTCCCACAGATTAAAATACGTTTTATGATGCTCACCTACACAACACATGTCTATTATATGAAGTCGTAATTCAAGAATATGTTCAAGAGACTTATTATGGGGTATGTTACAATTATACCAACATGTCGGAGACCGTAAAAGACGAACGCCGTATGCCACAGCTACTCGTTTTGTTTATACACGATGATTGGATATGCGGTAAAATAATCTACACTATAACCTTCAACCGTAATTCTGTTTACAACGTGCTTATTGCAGGTGCCTCATATCACCTTAACTTAAATAACATTAGGGAAAAAATAAATCTCAATATGATAACTTAATAAACATGGAGTGTACCTAAATCTTGTGGCCGAGGAACGTCGATCCTACACCTATCTAGGTTCCTAACAAATGTGCGTAGTTATTGTATAAAACTGGGTTAACAATCGAGGAACTGACGAGGATTATAGCGGTCCAACCAGTAGGTGGAATTTGGGGCTGATTTGTGGTGAATGTGTCGGATACAGAACGGTGTTTTCTTGATTGCTGATTGGTGGCAGAATAAGAGATTGCTTTATTGGGGGTTTATTGCTGATTGTTGAACAGCTGATTGGTGGCAGAATAAGGGGTTGCTGTATTAGAGGTTTATTGCTGATTGTTAAACAGCTGATTAGTGGCAGAATAAGGGGTTGCTATATTGGGGGTTTATTAGTTTTCACTAGTTTATTGAGGTTGGACCTTTATATTTGATTTTGAACAGGTTTCTGAACTTGGTGTTGATGAATAATATTTAGATTTTGGAAACGATTGATACGTTTCCACTTTCATCTCTTATACTTAATTTAAGAGTTATTAGAAAAGGGCGAATTATTGCCGTGTACTTAACTTCATTAGATTCAAAACCCATCAAACCACGTACACAATATCAAATATTCGCCTTACATTGTACAGACTTTAATCAACCTTTTTTTTCTCATGTATACTTTGTTTGTTTTTAGCTGTTTACACGTTGTTCTTTATAATTTCAGCACAAGATGGCAGCGGTACCTTCAGGTTTAAGACCAGAGATTAAGGATAACGCGGATGGGTCGATCCGGGTCGAGTACAGTCCTGTGGCAGGGGGACGACACGAGGTGCAGATGTGTTACGAGGGAAGCGCCGTAGAGGGTATGTTGTCAAAAGTTTTATTTTTCATAACACGGAGTATATTATACAATGTATGACATTGATAAGGAATGGTACAGTAAAAACGGAAGTCCCCTCCGAAGGTGAAATGTTCGTACCCTTTGTATCTACAAAATGAGTTCGGTATCTCTATATTCCACCTGTCATCAGTATTTTACTACATTTTCACACACGGACATTACGTAGACAACTAAACATACATCTGTAAGTAAATTAAACGAAAATTTAACGAAGAATGTATTTGAAAATGAAAAAAAAGACAATGAAAGCAAAACAAAAACAAAAAGAAAAAAAGAAATGAAGAACTCTAAAACGATTAAATCACTTATATACTTTCGACGCAGACTAACATAATTTTGGAATATGTTTGCCGCCATCACAAGATAAGGGCAATTATGTGCAGTATAAAATTGAAAATACCCGCATAAGTAATTCACTTTCATATAATTCACTTACGTTAAATAATGTCGACAAAAAGAAACAAATGGCCGCCATTTTGTCACGTACGCTCTATAACGCCAATGAGTCGGAATCAGACGAAGCTTTCGTAACGCTACTGATTGGACACAGACGTGGACTGATTTCGACCTATAAACATGTACTACATGTACATACACATAGCTGTAATTCCAGGAAGTCTGTTGTCATGTCCAAGCACTGGTTATCCACCTCAATGTTTTTTGTTAGTTGCCCGAAGGAATAATTTACGAAAGTACGAATTGTTATTGTCTAGAGTAATTAAATGATTATAGTGAATTTAAATATGTCAGTGAGACTGCATGGAGCTGTACATGATGGGTTTTGCAATGCAACTGGTTTGCCAGGTAATGAGATAATAATTTAAATCTGTGAGAGCATGTTCTCCTACCAGTAAGTCCTGAGACTCGTATTTCCGTCGGTTATCGGTAACCATAGCACATTATTTATTGTGTAAAAACGCCAGGTTGTTGATTTTTTTTCATGTAACACGAAACATGCATTTGGAAATGGAAAGCACACCACATATACATCTAGTATTTGCTCAAAATGGCATTCGGTGCTGGGCAGAGTGCCACCTCGCCAAGTCGGGGCTCGGCTCGCTCCAATCACTACAGCAGCGCTCTCCTAACGCTACAGGGTCTGTACACACAGCTGTGTTAACACTACAATAACCAGAAGAAAGATGAGTTCTGTCCATGTATTAAAGGTATCCCAAGTGTCAGTATCACAAGCAATCACGCATTTTACGTGAAACAAACGCACAAAGCATATTTAATTTCCAATTAATCATGATGATATAAGATAATTTAAAATAACATGGTAAGAAACTAAACTTATAAAAGATGATATGTTAAATTCGAGTTATCAGCCGTAGCGGGAATAGGATAACCCCTTACATTGCACGGGAACGCCCCCTCATTTACGGCAGATTAAGTCAATGCCGGAAACATTGCGATTTTGATATGATGCTTTCACAACGTATAAACGTTTGTTTACATCATAGGAACTGTCTAGGTGCGGTAGTACATATAATTAACAGACAGAGGATTAATTCCACACAATCTATCGATATTCTTCACATAATTCAGTACCTATTGGTCAACGACCTTTCAAATGCACTGGAAAGCTTCATTCTTTATGAATTGATTTGTACATATATTCAGATTACAATTTCACTACTTTGGTTTCTATGTTTACTTATAAACGAGTTTTACAACACATGTGTCGGAGAATGATATGAATAACAGCCAGCCGACAGGCAGTGTGGCCAAGGATATCAGATGATAGCCAAACCTGTCTCTCGTATGAATGCAGTTACATGTGTATTTAATCACAGCCGGAATAACAGCTGATTATCCTATATAGAAATTAAAAAAAATTACTATGTGGTCTATAATGAGGTCTGTTCTGTTCAACATTAAATCGCTATTAAGAAAAACGTAAAACAAGAATGTAATTTTCCGCATGATTGAAAGTTTGTTCCATGCTATCTGTTTTTAATTTGATAAGATTACATCAGTAGATGTTTGCTGTCAATGCGTCACGTCTCGGCAATGTATTTGCAAATCCTGGTAAAGCTCAATTTCTACTGAGGCAATATTTGAAGAAGATATAGATAAATCTACTGACTATTCACGGCGCTTTATTACTGAATACCAAGTATTTCGATGATTTGTTGTATTTCATTCATCACATCAAAATATAGATTAATGACAGTCGTACAATGCCGGTAGTGGTTGGCTCTTCACTAGACTTGAAGATATTTACCAGCCGTGGGACAGTAGTGGTCGCCGTACAATAGGTCAATAAACATTCCCTACTACCAAACAGTATGACAAATATTTAACTTGCAGTTTAACAATACAGTTTACCTCTCTATTAAAGTGACAATGATATGTTGCGTTTACGTGCCACAGATAATTACTTCAGAATATATTCTAAAATTTGAACTTTTCCGGAAAGGTGTCTTCTTACGACCAATACATCACAAAGAAAACAAATGACTGAACAATTTTGAACTACACCGAAGAAATGGTCGACGCAATAACACTATTTCTATTATAGTGATGGGCTGTATGCTAGTATTTATGTTTGTGTTTTTATGACTAATTACAATTTTGTTCTGGTGGGTTTAACCTCTGTGATTTATTGATTTATTTGTAATACATACGTTTCTAACCAGAATGCTATATTTCCTTGCGAGGTACCTCGTACAGACGATTTATCAGACTTACGTAACAAATGTATACACACACGTACACTGAACTCCGAAAACATCAGACTGCTTGCATCAGTTGATAATGCCCTACAAGAACAATAGATATTTGATATGTTCGAGATGCAACAATGTTTGTGTACGTGACAGAAGCCGTTTTCCATCAGGGTACATTCGTTGTCTCAACACAATCATTATAGTTATCCCAAATCCATTCCGTTTCAAGGGTTTAGACTTATTTACACACTGCTGTAACAAAACGTTGTTGCTATTTATTTAATCTACGTCACAATCAGTCATGCTTCGGCCTTTCATTCTTATTGAGCAACACATTATTTGCCATTTACTTGATTCTGTGAAAAGGATTGTTCTGATTGATAAACTACGAAAACAGTGCAAAGTCCTTCTCCAATTGAAGTGTTACATAAGTAGAGACTTAGAAAGAATAAAATTATGTTCGTTACCGAAAATCTTTCATTTTTCAAACTCGGTTATTTAATCAACAAAAAATAACAGTACATGATTTTATCATATTGACTTTCTTTGTATTTTTAAGTGATAATTACAATTACCACATCTGACGAATATGGAAAAAAAGATATTTTAAATTTTAATTCTTACAGCTAGTCCGGCTAATAAAAAACAACAATGATAATCATTGGTTAACCAACTTTTCTTAACTGAAATTTGCGAAACGTTTGACAAAAACATATATAAGGAGTCGTTAGTGGATTTGATAATCTTTTCAACTGATTTTAACTAATAAAATTCCTTATCTCCTGTAACAAAAAATTTCGTAAACAGAATTATAATTATGATTAAATGTTGAATTACAATCATTTTAGTTTAAATAATTCACAATCAATTATAAGTGTGGAAAAATAAGCATACAAAAACATATGATGTTTTTAATTCAGCGACAATCTGTCTCTGTAAAGACGAAGCGATTGATCAAAGAAAATAGTAAAAGTAGCCTCAACCCTAAAATACATAATGTATTTGGTCCAACCAACAGAATGTATACACATTGGGTCAAGTCATCTGCTGTACCTTAGGAGAAACGACTTTTGTCACGTACACAAACATATATTGGTAGAGCAACACTTTTATCAGTCTATTAGTAATGCGTGTATATGCACTGTTAGAGCAACAATTTTATCAGACTATTAGCTAGTAATGCGTGTATATGTACTGTTAGAGCAACAGTTTTATCAGACTATCAGTAATGCGTGTTTATGTACTGTTAGAGCAACAGTTTTATCAGTCTATCAGTAATGCGTGTACATGTACTGTTAGAGCAACAGTTTTATCAGACTATGAGTAATGCGTGTATATGTACATGTAATATTAGAGCAACAGTTTTATCAGCCTATCAGTAATGCGTGTATATGTACTGTTAGAGCAACAATTTCATCAGACTATTATTAATGCGTGTATATGTACTGTTAGGGCAACCGTTTTATCAGACTATTTGTTATGCGTGTATATGTACTGTTAGAGCGACAGTTTTATCAGACTATCAGTAATGCGTGTATATGTACATGTAATATTAGAGCGACAGTTTTATCAGTCTATCAGTAATGCGTGTACATGTACTGTTAGAGCAACAGTTTTATCGGACTATCAGTAATGCGTGTATATGTACATGTAATATTAGAGCGACAGTTTTATCAGTCTATCAGTAATGCGTGTACATGTACTGTTAGAGCAACAGTTTTATCAGACTATTTGTTATGCGTGTTTCTGTACTGTTAGAGCAACAGTTTTATCAGTCTATCAGTAACGCGTGTATATGTACTGTTAGAGCAACAGTTTTATCAGACTATCAGTAATGCGTGTATATGTACATGTAATATTAGAGCAACAGTTTTATCAGTCTATCAGTAATGCGTGTATATGTACTGTTAGAGCAACAGTTTTATCAGACTATCTGCAATAGTTAGTACATGTATTACCAGAAGAACAGATCTTTTCAACACTACCTGTAACAGTTGGTACCTGGAACTTGTTAAATAGCCAACCAACTATAAAGGTGTCGTCAGCTACGGCGAGTATAGGATCAGCGGGTGACTGGCGAAGCAAGATGTTTTAGTTAATTAAGCTGTTATAACGGATCTCCCGCCCACCAGCCCATCCTATATAATACACACAACACATGCTCATATAATAACCATTTATAGACTGGCATTATAAACATGGCTGACTCAGCTAGTAACCATCAACTGTTTTTCGCATCAGGCTTGCACACACTCACAACAACAGACGTCAAAAAATATGTATGTAAGACTAACGCATGCCAGACTACAAGATATACGGCGATGTTTGCATTACTACAACAACGAACCCACGTAGTACCGTGAAAGCCGTTTTGTTGTAACCCGGGGTCATGTACAGACTGTCTGTTAGCAATGCACAGCGGCGTCGTGTTTGTCTGGTATTGCAGTTTTATCATTTAAGTAGGTAATGCAACTCATTGTTAAAAATAACGTTCAGTCTCTGATTATCGTAAAATGTTCCATAGATATACCGATGTATATATACATTAATATATACTATATCGGTAATGACAGGAGAGTTGGGGAGAGAGGCGGCTACTTTTTCATATCACGTGTTTACGTTACCCTCAATAATCTACTAGCACTAAATGAAGCAATCCAATACAAATATGCCGAATTCCAAACGGAACGAGAACATATCTGCTGTAATAACACACAAAAGAAAGCATATGCTTGCTTTGTTGGTGATCACAGAAATACTATGTTTGATAAACAAATGTCAACATGTCATTTAATGAGTCGAATTAGTCCGTCAGTGCAGAGTCTGATGTGGTAGAATAGCTCCGATAGGGGATGATCGCAGGGCCCTTTCAACCGTTGCAATATATATTTATATAAAGTAGATAATAAATAAATAAGTCCTTGCGAAGGAAAATATAGAATAAAAACATAAATCTTTCAGATCGTCCGCTAGGCCTTTCTCCCTTCTAGGGCTTCTTCAGGCGTATACATATATATATATAGATGTATAACATATGAAATAAAATAACAAACACACAAGACGGACTGCAATGCCTTTCTACCTTCTTGGGATTCGTGAGTCTGCCGTAAGAAGCTCAAGAAAGCAGAAAGGCCTAGCGGTCAATCTTGTGTTTTTTTACATTTTATATTTTTCTTAAACGGGTTCTGAAAATTTGTCTATAATTTAACACAAATTGCACTGTATTTTCAAAAATATGTTCTTCTCTGATGTCCCTATCCAATAATAAAAAAATGATCCGAGCAAGAACACAGACACATGGTTACATGTAGAACTGATAAACTGAACACATGGTTACCTGCTTGACTTTGTCAGGACGTGGAAACGCACCGGATAACCTGTTTGCACCACATGAGGCAGCACATCTCACGCGCATTGTCACGTTATTAAGTCGTATAGACAACGTAATGAGAGAGACTATCGCCTCACACGTGGTGGTGGATTCGTTATTAGCTCGTTAAGGTTATTGTATGAGCGACACTGACAGCAACATCGCTCGATACATGAAATGTACGTACTACACGTGCCATGTAAATGTACCGGCATAACGTACATTCCAGAAACGACAACGTCAGATACACGCCAATAGCAAATTGGTCTGGATATATCATAATATTGATAAAATTGGTTCTTGATACATTGGACAAGTTCTCCTTCTTCAAGATTTGAAAACAATTTCAATATTTTTGTATACTGCAAAATAAACTCACAGTTAATCTAACTAATGCAGTTCATTAGTATATTATGTTTGGTTGCTTTTCATGATCAAACTTTTAAGTATTGGTAATTCATAAATTGACTACTGCCCATGAAAAACGGCTTTATGTTTGTTATAGGTAGTCCATTCTCCTGTCTCGTCGACAAGGTTGATGGAGGTTATGTGACGGCTTTCGGTGGCGGTTTGGACGGAGGAATGAGTGGACAGATGACCACCTTTACCATCACTGCTAAGGCTGGAACCTTAAGTAAGTATGCATACACATAACTAATGTATTAAGTCAAATGTCGGAACCACGGGTTTTCGCTGTTATTGAACCAACCAATTTTCTGTTACAGTAGTTTAAGGTAAAATTATTTAAACTTTTTCTTTCAAATTGGAATATTCTGCTACAGTCGTACTCCTGGCGGATTGTCTACTCCAAGACGTAACACCACATTCAAACCCTACGGTTATGTTAACGAGAGCTGTATAGAGTAGCGTCCGTTCCAAATACTCCGCCAAAAACCATGTTATTACTATAACATTAGTCAGGTCAGTGTACAATAACAGTCCTTCATTGTGACGAAGTACTAAGCGACTAGTATAAACACCATTAGCTACACGACCAAGAATTACTTCGTCTTCTGTTAGATAGAGGGCCATTAGAGCAATGTTTAGTCGATAGAAGGCCTCGTCCCCGACCCCAATGTTCCTTGTCTAGAGTCTGTACAAGATGCTCCATTATACCATTACTTAATCTTCCGCAATAAATGCCAAAATGCCAGAGTGGTGCTATTAGCTTCTGGTAACAATTAAAAAGCATTAGATAGTTAACGGATCAGGCTTACAGCATTAAACACGCTGGATGGATCTCATACACCTAGGTCTGATAAATGTGATACCGACATCACTGATTCCTCCACAATCACAAAAACCAGAGGAACTTGATAATCTGCCATATTTCAGGATGAATGTATTTACATCGGAACTGAAATGATCGTCTGCTTGTTTATCAATCTCACGCTAAAATTTTATTTTATTTTTCATTTTGGATCTCCTTTATAGAATTAAAACACAGGGTATAAGGAACATATCACGCTCATTTAGAGTTAATTCATTACGTTCGCATAATTAAAGTAGGTGTGACACAGATGCATCCGTCTCTACATACTTCCAGTTAAATGATGTATTTACGGTAAGTTCCATTTTCATTTTATACAACTGATTATTGTGTTGGGATAACTGTGTTCCCACAAAGCACAAAGCACAATGCAGAATATGTAATGTGTTTGACAAAAACATTATCTATATTTTCAGAGGACGTATCTATTGCAATTGAAGGACCAACAAAGACTGATTTTAAGCGGAAGGATAATTCAGATAGGTGTGATGTGTCCTTCATGCCAATGACGCCTGGATTATATAACATTGTAATCAAATACAAAGGAAAGGAGATCAAGGGTTCACCGTTCCAGTCTAAAGTTTCAGGTAGACACTTCAGTCTCTGTCCTGCATGCTGCTGTTTCAGCACTATATTTTATGCATCGATGTCTGATACGTCATCGTATACACTGTTTGTGGACATTTACACGTACTTCACTGTTATGTGTTTTATGCGCATGAGCGGAAAGTATGCGACAACTGTAACTAAGCAATACAACATCTTTTTGATAAACTTGTGTTTTTGGAATACATTTGCTCGAGTATTGTCATCTTACCTGTTTCCTTCCCGGTTATCCCCCGTGGCCCTCTAGTATAAATGGTGTACCGGTAAGAAATGTGGGTACGGGTAGCCACACCCCCTTACTACCACTTCCTCGTCATGTTAATACACACACTGCTCCATCCGATTGTTGTTGGCCAATGTTGGTTAGTCTTGAAAATTACAGCATGGCCTTTCTGACTAAAGTAACTTGTACTGTGTTTGTGTGAAGAGATGATTCTTCCTTTGCTTTTTAGCATAATGTTTTTTTGTAAGTGATTCCCCCATTAGTTGTACTATGATTTCTCTGTTGGGATACAGTTACATTGAGAGATGGAATGTAGTATGATGTTTTGTTACGATGGTGACTGATTACTTTTGTCTTGACCAATATACTACAGTGTGTGTGATTGGTTCAAAACTTTGATTGTGCATCACGTGTATAGATATATTATCACACGTACGCGTATAGTGCAATATCAATGCCAGTCACTCTGTCGCAGTGCTCCGGTATTCGACTAATAAGATAATGACATTATAATACAATACCGTCTATCCATACACATGATGCATACATTCACAGAATTGAACTAGTCTTATTTATCTTATTTATTCCCGTACGATTGTTTTCATCTTTGCATTGCAATTTATTTCCCACAATCAGTGCAGGCAGACGGGGTTTTCAAAAAGGGTGAGTTTCTTGTCACTTGATATGGAGTTGCAGATAAACGGACAGAGGACAGCCTTATTCTTCTATATTACAAGGACTTTCATAAACTGGCCACGCCCTTTTTACATATTTGAGTTATGTCTTCAGGCAACGCACTGAAATATATCAAAGCTATTGTCACATTGGTTTTGCAGTTTGAAGGTGTAAGCGTTTCGTTTTGTAAAAATGTGAGAAGTGATCATCCTTAGTCAAAAAGAATATATGTTTCTGCTTTGAATAATATGAAAACATCAAATTTCAAATAGTGCGTAAGGTGTCGTTCAGCTAACGATAACAATTGATAAAGAAAAATGTTGATGAGAGGATTTATGTAATTGTTAATGATGAAACGATGTATGGAAGTCTTGAGGATGAGAAGTCCAAGAAAAAATGTTTAATATTGAAGATGTAAGAAGCAGTGAAATGTTGAGGATATTAGGATTATGATGAATTGATTTGTGTATAAATTTGAATGTACAGGTTCCCGTATAAAGACAGTAAGTAACGAAAAATAAGGTAAGAGCGTGGCCAATTTATGAAATCCCTCCGGGACAGGTAATGGTAATGTAGATATTGACATGCCCTAACGTTAATGACTAGTGACCTGTCTCGTCCGTTCATGCTCGATGTTGCGTCAACGTCACGTGCCGTAGGTGTGTGTAGAGCGCGCTATCTCTGGTCACTAGAATGCGTGTAGACTACCAGATGGGTAGGATGCTGAGTATTTCTGGTCGCTAGAATGCTTGAAAACTACCAGATTGATAGGATGCCGAGTACTTCCGGTCGCAAGAATGCTTGTAGACTACCGGATTGGTAGGATGCTGAGTATGGTACCAATTTCTGTACTAACGTTAATACACGGAAACACTCCACATCTTAAGTATACCTCGGTGCTTTACACATGTCAACACGATACTGGCGGTTGTATTCAGATTGTATTACGTATTTATTACATGTCTTGCGAATTAATACGAACTATTATCTGTTCTGTCGATGCTAGACAGATTTGTTTCTTAGAAGATTATTTCACGCTTATATTTTATTACTTTATTGTTTAGCATGTTTTACATTTAGTAAAGTCGTAAATGGCAGCGAAGAATAGAAATATATGGCTCGTTATTGCAAACATTGATACGCAGGTTTCATTTGTAGAAAAAAATCAAACAATTATACACGTACGACGTACGAGTTAGACACAGAACCAAACAGTTGTGCACACGTAGTCTCACCAACCGGGTACAACATAATAGGCGGAGTATAACTATACGTCACACTGTATAATGTACAAGTAACTGTTGTACTGGGAGACCGTCTATAGTCAAGACATACATTCTACACATACTCTCACGTGTAAGCTCACAGCAAGAATAACTTTGGCGTGCACCTGCAACTCCCGCCTATGTGGAGTTATGTAGACGATAAAGGAAAGATAACGTTACAAAGTTCTACAGGAGATCCCGAAGCTTACAGTAGGTTAGTATATGTGTGGATGGTACAGGAAACTTGGTAGAAAATACGCCAGAAATACAAATATTGAGATGACGTGTTATGATGGCTAATGAATACTCAAATGACATGTTATGTAAAGCAGGAAGTAGTGTACCTGACACACGGATTAGATACAATTCATCGCAAAAAGTAAAATATACATTAAAATAAACAGTTTAGAAGCACACTTATATCTGATATTACCCATCATATTTCTGCTAACATTGTTTGGCAATAACAGCTGCAGATAAGTGGTAACTTGGTATACGATATAAACATTTATGTTGTACCGGTATGTTGCGTCAAACAATGAAAAGTTCATGTAAACTATGCATTTCATAAACAAATGAGGTAACAGGTGCTTGTTTGCATGATGTGTTACACGGAAAGAACTGAGTGGGAGTCGGTACCACTCAGTCATACAGAGAAAAGGATGGCTTCCCGTTGTGAGTCGACACCACCCAGAGATACAGAGAATACGATGGTTTCCAGTTGAGAGTCGGTACCACCCAGTCATACAGAGAAAAGGAAGGCTTCCCGTTGTGAGTCGACACCACCCAGAGATACAGAGAATATGATGGTTTCCAGTTGAGAGTCGGTACCACCCAGTCATACAGAGAAAAGGATGGCTTCCCGTTGAGAGTCGGTACTACTCAGACATACAGAGAATATGATGGCTTCCCGTTGAGAGTCGGTACCACTCAGTCATACAGAGAAAAGGAAGGCTTCCCGTTGAGAGTCGGTACTACACAGAGATACAGATAATATGATGTTTCCAGTTGAGAGTCGGTACTACTCAGACATACAGAGCATATGATGGCTTCCCGTTGAGAGTCGGTACTACACAGAGATACAGAGAATATGATGGCTTCCCGTTGAGTTGGCACCACCCAGAGATACAGAGAATATGATGGCTGCCCGTTGAGAGTCGGTACCACTCAGGGAAACAGAGAATATGATGGCTGCCCGTTGTTAGTCAGTACTACACAGAGATACAGAGAATATGATGGCTGCCCGTTGATAGTCGGTACTATACAGAGATACAGAGAATATGATGGTTTCCAGTTGAGAGTCGGTACTACTCAGAGATACAGAGAATATGATGGTTTCCAGTTGAGAGTCGGTACTACTCAGAGATACAGAGAATATGATGGTTTCCAGTTGAGAGTCGGTACTATACAGAGATACAGAGAATATGATGGTTTCCAGTTGAGAGTCGGTACTATACAGAGATACAGAGAATATGATGGCTGCCTGTTGAGAGTCGGTACCACTCAGAGAAACAGAGAATATGATGGCTGCCGATGGCTGCCCGTTGAAAGTCGGTACCACACAGAGATACAAAGAATATAATGACTGCCCGTTGATTGCCGTATATATATTTCACGATTGTCGCAAAATACAAATGTGTTTCATACTAGTGTAAAAAACAGTCTTGATTTATATTATTCAGTGGGAAACAATTTAATACTCTATTATATTGCATCTTTGTGACTCGTAAAACATCAATTTATATTTATAGGTTTACTGTAAATAAAATACCAAAGTCAAACTTATTGGAATTAAAACAGTGCAATTACTGAAGTTCCAAATACTTCTCGAATAGCTTTTTGTCAATTTACTTGTCCTTTGTTAACTGAAGTTTCACACTTTGTTAAAACAAACTTGATACATGTTAGTGTCATTCTGTACTAGTGAAAATATCATTTTTATTATTGCAAACTGCAGTGAAAACATCACCTATACCATTTGAAACTGCTGTGAAAATATAATATTTACTTTTTCACCCAGCAATGCTAGTACTTAATTGCTAAAATATGATGTTGATTCTCAATACTTGACCGCTAGTAAGACAATGTTGGTGAAGATTATAGTGAATGTGATGTCGAGATCTTGTTACAGTTATTATCTCCTGTATAATGAGGTTTATAGTCGAACTTCGCTAATCGAGCCACCGGTAATTTCTTTTACCCAGTGTTTAAGGGACAAATAGGGTTTTCCAGTATTAAAGCTGACACACCATCGCACCCGTCACACTGGGCGTGGCTAGACTAACGAGACTCGAACCTATTGTTTGCTATATATACATGTTATCGTTTTAGGTCTGACTAACTATACAGCATGAGTATTATATAGTGACTATACGCTACTAACTCCTCGCATTCAAGGTATTTGAATAACAAACATATTTTCTTCAAAATAATTAAATGTCTTTGTTGTAACGATGTAAAATGTTGCGTTGCAGCTGGATTTTATAAGATATTTTCTCAAGCAAATAATTCAGTTCAATAGTTTTTTTGTAAATCACATAAGTGATTTGACGATAGATAACGATAGAAAACAAACAGATACATTTTAATGTGTGCATAAAACCAAGTTAATTTGGAATCATATATTTTTATGATAATTTTATGTCTTTACTGTTTTAAGTTTTGAATACAACCAACCAACACACAAGCTCACTGTCAAGCTTATCAGTTGCTGTAATGGATTGACAAAAGTTATTTTGATATAAATGTCGACATAAACATGCGTCTCCTTTGTGATGGTATCATTCACAACCTTTGATATCTGGTGCAGGTGAAGGACGTAAACGCTCTCAGCTATCCCTAGCCAACAGCAGTGATTACTCTCTCGATGTCCTGGAACCAGATATCGTGGACTTAGCTGGCCATCTGAAAACACCTAGTGGCGCCACAGAGCCTATTATCCTCAAGAAACTTGCCGATGGACACTTAGGTACTGTATCGTACCCCATTACCTGTTGTTAAGTTCTGACGTCAGATTGCCCATGTAACCGTTGCTCATCTTATGCATTGTCTTGTATTGCAGGCCTTGCCTCATTTACGCCTCATCAAAAGGGAGAATACAGAGTACAGGTATACAGGAATGAGAAACACATCAAAGGAAGTCCCTTCTCTATCAATGTTGGTGATGGCGAGATCGCTCACGCATCAAAGGTCAAAGTATCTGGACCAACTACAGAGGCCCTGGCCAATCAGTCCAACGTACTCAAAATCGACACAAGCACTGCAGGTAAAACACCTTAAACCTTCCTTATTCTTAGACCAAAACAACACAATTGCATGTACATGTAAGTAAGTAAAATATTATCTAAACTCTAGTTCAATAAGCGGATATCATTTCGAATACGTGTCATTGACAGGTTACGGTGGACTCAGCATGGTGATAGAAGGACCTCACAGATCAGAGATTGACTGTGTTGCCTCCGAAAACCGCCAGTACGAGATCCACTACAGCCCCCATGAGCCTGGCATCTACATCCTCAACATCCGCTTCGCCGACGAACACGTTATAGGTAATGCGTGGCATAGCGCCACAGATCTGGAATACAGAATATTATAGCATTGGTCTGGTAAAGTTGTATGTCACTGTTTTAATGTATAGTCTACAATCCCAGGCCTGGTGGTGTCTTATTGTAACAACAAGAAGGCTACAGAGGGGGCACATAATGATAGCTAAAAAGATATGTGACTGTTTTTAATATATCGTGTGTCGGTAGTCTGAAGAAAGTCTGGCTTTCTGTTTACATGACATGCGTTTTACTTTTATTCCCTGCATTAATATGATATCAGTTCTAATAACCCGGTACAGTGTGTTTATGATAATAATACCAACCTTTAATTAGTTCGACATTGTACTTACAACATGTTTCTGTTTAAAGAAGTCTTTGTAAGAAAATGGATGCATAGGCCAAGCACTTATACGTAAATGAAGCCTTGACCAAACCATCCTATCAATGTATGTATATGATAATGAGATCCTTACCAAATAACACGTGTTCCTACAGGAAGCCCATTCCTGCTCAATGTGGTTGGTGATCCATCAGGACGTATCCGTGAAACTATCACCAAGCAAATGGTACAAGCGGAACCGGTGAAAAAGGGAGACCACTGTGAATTCCTGTTGAAGATCCCAGGTGAATGTCAGACAAATGTAAAAGATTGTCTTTAAATGTATATACTAGTTTTATATTATATACAACAATAGTAAAAGTGGTTATTTTATTTTTATACAAACAAAATATTAATGAAATAAGGTTTACATTGTTTTTAAAGAAAAACAAATCAACACGGCCTTCAACATGGATGTTTCCATTGCAGACGGCGCAGCTGAACCGTTATTTATGTATATAGCACTGCTTTATGTTACCAGGTACGAACCCGTTCGACATGGAGGCTTCCGTTACTGACGGAGACGGTTGTACCGAATTGTGCGAGATTATGGACGAGGACGATTACCACTACAGAATGAATTTCACCCCTCAGATGACAGGCACTCACATTCTTAGTATCAAACACAAGGGCATGCATATCTCAGGTACTTGACTTATATCTTACTTATGGTTTGATTTGCTACTTGTATGTGTGCCCTCCTCCCTTTACAGCTCTACAACGCTCGCGCACATATTACTCGCCAGGTAGGAGGCATTCACACTTGTCACTAGAAACATTCAAGGGAATGTTGCTTTGATTCAAAGTATATCTATATTATTGCCGAATTGTTTTTGGCTTCATATCACAACATTAAGACAAGGCAAAGCCACATCTGTCGTTCATATGACGTGTACGACTGTGTATCAGTTGGTTTGTATTTTGTTTCCATATACGCAGTAAGTGCAGCGTTATATATGTACCAGCAATCTGTTACATATTGTGTAAGTATAATTATGATATAACCTTTTTTATACCTGTTAATTTGCCTCCAGTTGTCTGTAATCAAGGGAAACAACTTTGCTAGATGAAAATTCATTTCGATTGATTTCTGTATTGCAGGTAGTCCTTTCATTTACTCCGTCGGGCAGCTATCGTCAGGCGGTAGCCACAAGGTCCAAGTAGGAGGTCCGGGCGTTGAGCGAGGAGAGGTCACCGTCAGCAGTGAGTACTGTCATCTTTAGTTCCCTACTTCCTGTACCTACAAATGAGCGCAGTAATGAAAATAATTGACGTGTTATTCATATTTCAGTCCGTGCAGAACTTGAATCGTTTTAGTAGAATTGCAGCAGTTATACTATTTCTATACACTATGAATTGGGAGTTAAGATAGGTTAAAGTTAAGTACGTAAAACATAAGGAAATAACTTCTTTACCAACATGCCTGGGGCTATGATGTGATATTAACATTGGCTATTGTCTTGTAGACGATTTCAACATCTACACACGTGAAGCAGGAGCTGGTGAACTCTGTGTTTCTTTGGAGGGGCCATGTAACGCCAACATCAAACTAGAGGAGCGCCCTCACGGGTTCTTGGGAATTTCATATTTCGTCAAAAAACCAGGTACATTAGTTAATAGCAGTAGTGTCATTATACGATATGGCATTTACCACTAACACTTTTGATATTTGTTTATTATCTATCATTTTCCACTTTTGTTTTGTCCAGGAATGTATGGTATTCACGTGAAGTTTAATGACGAACATATCCCCAGCTCTCCGTTTATGGTGAACATTGCACCCGATAGTGGGGCCACCCGCAAAGTCACGGTGCATGCGCTCAAGGACAGGGGCCTGTCGGTACGTACCAAATCCGAAACACTAACGGATCAAACGCTGTCATTATGGTCACAAGTATTACAATCTTTTTAGTAGATGTTGCGTGAATGAGCTATCAAGAAACACGTTTTAGCATTTACATACGTCGTCAAAGTGTCTATATTAAGCTATATAAGAATTGGTATTTACTACTTATTGTTCTATGTTTAACGGAAAAAGTGAACGAAGGAGATATTAAGATGTCTACCATGTTTGCGGTGGTCTGACATCTTTCGTTGGTTAATGACCATGTACTTTTGGGCAATAGACCATGCGAATGCATGTAATATTTTCCAACAGACCAATGCTCTTCTAATAACCTCCTTCTCAAATGTAATTAAGCAAGCAGCGGGACAGCTTTCCTTTTTCGAATAAGAGAAGATTTACTTTTAACCTGGCAAACACACAGTCAGAATATTCCGTCGAACTCACCGCGAAGTTGAAAATTAAAATAGCATTTGTAAATATGTTAAATGCTGATTGCATGTGTGGACTAACGATGTCGATAGATACATCTAGTATAAAACATGACGACAATGTCAATTAGTTATCGTCTGTCGACCAAATAGCGACTCAAAACGAAAATGTCTCTCAAAATACATCCATGTTAAATAGAAAAATAGGAAAATTTCAACATGGTCAGAAATGAACAAAAACGCGCAGGTACTAGGTAATCTTGCTTAGCATAGGCGTAGGGACACTGAGGTAGACACGACAAGGACTTTTATTACATTTAACTTGGTAGAATAAAGATAATCAGTGTATGTGCGTGTTTTATGGTGGAATATATAGCTCGAAATTCGAAAAAAATGGAAAAATGTTTCCTCACCCCAGTTATATATTCCACCATAATACAAGCACATACCATTATCAATTTAAAAATATAATTGTTAGGACTCTTGTATCAATTATACACCTGACATTGTGTATTGACGTTCTGATGCTGTAAAATCACAAGGCTGGTGTCTCATAATGTTTTCATAAACGATTGCTGAACGATGTGGTTTATATAGAAACGCATGTCCGATAATAATTGGGGGCTGGGAATGGAGATTACTTGCAAGATTATCGTAAAAAAGTGTTAAAAACATGTCGCCAATAGTTTTCCATGTAATGATGTGTAATAAATTCTTTACCTGCAGGTTGATAAACCTGCCACCTTCACTGTCTCCTTCAACGGGGCCACTGGGTCAATTCATTCCTGCGTAAGGACTCCCTCGGGGGCCCACGAGGACTGTTTCCTGCAGGAGATGGACACAGGTTTGTACGCGGTCCGGTTCATCCCTAAGGAAAACGGTGTCCACTACGTGGATGTGAAACTCAACGACCACCATATCCCTGACAGTCCCTTCGCCTTGATGGTCGGGTCTACCGCGGCCGATCCCGCTATGTTACACGCCCACGGAGAGGGCTTAGAAACCGGCAAATGTGGTAGGTATCTCAACATAGACAACAAGATCTACGGATTCAGCAAGTCAGTTGATTCAATATTGATTAACGTTAACTTCATGTAGTATTAAAGTGAACATACAAATCGTTGCCACTGTGAAACAATGGAATTAAATGTAAATCTTACTCTCAAATTACACTCTTATCAACAATCTAAAGAAAGACCATTTACACTGGCATGCTGAGTATAAGATATCTGAATTTCTTAAGCTCTCAACTCAGATATGGCAGTATAAAGCTCTCATTTCAGAAATGCTAATTGTAAATCATATAGACATTGTTTTTATAATCCAGATATATTTTAAATCAACCATATTATTGTTCATACAGTCATATTGTAAACACATATCGCCAATTATACAGACCTATTTTTATTTGTTTGTCACACAGACGTTTTGTTAAACATACATATTTATCGGTCATATTTTGTTTTGCGAATACCTATATTTGTAATTGTTGTTTCAACGACATCTTCTCAATGATAGGAATACGCAAAAATTATTACCCGGCCAAACATGTCCAGTACGCTTAATATATTCAAAACATGTGTGTGTATATTGTTACAATCCTTACAGGTACGAAGAACAAGTTCGTAGTAAGAACGGTGGGATCTGGATCTGGATTCTTAGCGGTGTACATCGATGGTCCTTCCAAGGCGGCACTCAGCTGTAAGGAAGTTGACGAAGGATACGAGTTCAGTTACTCGCCGTTCGCTCCAGGAAAATACCTCATCAATATTAAGTACAGCAACATCGCCATCGCCGGAAGTCCTTACGCTGCTGTTATTACAGGTAAACCGACTCGACACAGGTTATACACAGCTTTCTCGCCATACATAAACTCGGGTGTATCCAGCAGGGATAAAACGACAACCTGAGACCGGATTGTCGTGCATTAGACTAGCTCTTTACGCTGTTGAGATCTCAAAATATCGATATAAATAACATTGCTTTTAATTTATTGATGTATAACAACCATGCTCTTTTTTTTCACTTGACTTCTTGCACGGAAAGTATGAAATGATCCCCTTTAATTCCGAACTACTTTCCACTTCTTTTTCCTGGTGTCTAACCTCAGTATACACGTGTAATGAGATAACTACACTAAGGTGTGTATCAGTCACTAATTATTGGTTTCTTACTGACAAATGCCAACCGGAATCGTATTTACCGCATACCATGCATAAGTCACTCTCACACCTCCAGAAGGAAGTGACTGAGTAGCTTGAGTGTCTACATGTCTTACTATTTGTTTTCTGTTTCTGACACAGCGTCTGGGGGCTCAGGTAGGGTGCTTCAGCCCTTCTCAACCTCCACCGTAGTTCAGTTCGTCTATTTAGTTGCTTTTTGCGCTCGCTTGTGTTGTTCAAAAGCCATGAGGACTCTGCATACTATACCATCAATTAAAACGTTAAGCCCTGTTTCAAGAAATCACTCTTTTGGAAACAAATTTAAACAATAAGTAGCACATCTGTTGATATTGTTTAACTAAGCAGTATATATGTGAATTTCACAGAAGAAGATTAACATTATATACAACAAAATTAAAACATGAATTCACACACGTGGACCACTACCTTTATATTATCTTGTAGTGAAATGAATTTAAACGAGTAGTAAGTGTTGTAAGAGTATCCCCATGGCTTCATCAACAACGGTTTTAAGCTGCTCTTTTCGTACGTAAATGGATGTAAGTAGTATGTTTACAGTAGTTTATTTGTTTGTTTACTTCAATATTTGGTTAAATGTATAAGTTCGTGGTTTGACATTGTGGTTCATATGTCATTTTCGTTTGATTTCCTGCATGTGTGGATATTCATCATTGATAGAGAGGAAACGTTGGCGATAAACCAGATCGAACATATGTTTGAGTATAATAATATGATAACTTCACTCCAAACACTTGTTTTCACCTTTCTGGTGATGGCCCTTTGTAAACACATGTCCAATAGAACATTTCGACCACAGGATTAGGAGGGTATTGATAGACCGACTTCGCTTTGGATTGACTGTCCAAATGAGACAATTTGAGTTTGCTACCGAGCTGTGAATAAGTTATCGCAAACGCTACTAACCCTAGTTCCTTTCATTTCAATACTATTTTATCGTCAAAGATGGCAAGTTGTCAAACCCTAGACATTGACATAACTGGGGATATTTGGTGTTAACGATATCTCGGTCATTTGAATATTGTTATAACATTACTGCTAGGTTGTATGAATGTATGTCATCCTTTTACTAAATTATCCTTTTAGATTGTATTGTCTTATAACTCCATTTAACATTTTAACTTAAAGATATAATTCCTACTATTTCTGAAAGCCACCCAGCTCCATGTATAATGTTACTAAATTATATCATTATTGCTGAATCAAAGCGTCACGAATTTTCATTTTTACGTTACGTTCGAGTTTACACCCTCAATATATGTCAGGATAGATTATGAATGTATGTATTAGAATAAGGTTTACTTTCTGTTTATAAATCAAACTTTCAAATTATAATCAAGTCTTTTTTTGTTTTATCGTTGAGAAGCCACAGTACATGGATGCTATCCTTTTTAATAACCGACAGAACTATATTCCATCTTGTCAGAACAAAACGTCGAAAAAGTATTTGGGATTCAATGTTTAATTAATTATTATTTTTATATCTTGGTCCGTTGTGTCTGCCTTTTTGTACATGGATAGATTTGTCAGATTATTAATAAATAAATGTCATGAACAAGTTTATGGTAATAATGTTAATTTGTGTCACTTTGAAACAAATACCTATGCATAGCACTGAACTGCTATTGAAATGCATTGACGAGGTGTGTATAGCTTAAAACATGAATAATGTTTCCGCCATAGCTTTGAAATAAATATGTTATCACTATAACTGGAGGATAATATATAAGTAATTCCTTAACGAAAATACGCATACACATTACCAATTCATACAGAAATGTGAGTGAATGGTTTAAATTTGGCATCAGTGTTTTGTTAATCCAATGAAAGATTTAGTAGGATTGTGGTTTGTGATCAAAGTGACAGACTTGGAATACAAGAGTGTGAACGTCCTAACCTAATAGTGTAGTGTTGATATAAGATTGATCGCCCTTTCCCACCCCGTAAAGGCTGCTGTGCTGCCGTTGTGCAAATGACGACTAATTACCTGTTGGCAAATCCAGAGTGTGATTTAACCTTTTTCAGGAACTAATAACTGACTTTGATCTGAAGACTGTGGTGTGAACCCATGACCCCGACTAATACCTCACACTTTATACGTGTATACAGAATCAGTATATATAACAACACCACCATTTGTAGTGCTGGAATACTGGGCAATTACGATATACACAGTGGTTAGTCACGAAGTGTGAACATCTACATTTACACTTAATATGAAATAGATTTTATAAATGTTTTCAAAACGTATAAAGTGTGAATATTTATCGATGTGTTTATTTGAAATGTACAACATATAATGAATTGACGGAAAATTATTTTCTGAAAGATGTCCTACATGAAAGACTCGTCGATGACGGTTGCTCTAATCAGTGACAATTCTACACTGGTACGCTGCAGAGCTTATTTATGCTAATTTATGTTTACCAGACTCCGAAATAGCAATTGTACCTTGATCATTCTTCTAACTGTTCGTTCAATCCGTGTCCTTCATCGTGTTCCATTCTGTTATCAATTACATTTGCCTTTTGACATTGTCCCTGAGTTATCTAATTCCTTGAATATGCATTTTGTTAAATATGTCTTACATTTACAGAATTCCCTGCCCTTCATATGTACTCTCACTATGACACTACAACCGATCTTCTTATATCTATACTTATATGTGTATTATACAAACTTAATCGCTGGTGGCTCAGGTTTCATTCTCTTCCCATTAATTGCATCCAATGTCCATTCTTTACGATTGCTCTACATATTATTTGTAAGCAATCAGATAAAGATGTACAGGTGTGTGACAATATTTTGAATGTTTTGTAAGTACTTTACGTGTTACAATACATTGTATAACTATTGTATATGTATTGTATATACTGGTGCATCGACATGCATTGTATATAGTATAAGTACTGCATATACTGGTATATGATAATCTGTTGTATGCTATGTAAGTACTGTATATATAGATTTATAACAATACATGGTATATTGTATGATAAGTACTGTATATACTGATGTATATAAATACATTGTATACTGTATAAGTTCTTTATAAACTGGTATGTGACAATGTATTGTATATAGTATAAGTACTGTATATACTGGAGTATGAAAATATGTTCTATGCTATGTAAGTACTGTACATATGAGTGTAAAGCAATACAGTATGTCCGTTTTAAATATTGTTTTGACTGATATATGAATATCAACATTTAGAAACTTTGCAGTCACTATTCATTCGACCAATAAATGTATTGACTATTACTTGAATCGAGGCATCCACTAGTTTATCCTTGCTCAAAAGGTCCGCTTTATTTATCAATTTGTATGATTACAAAATCCTATGTATATATTTTTCTGTTTCCTAAGGATCTGGACGAAAACCACTCCAGGTAAATGAACAGACGTCAATGGTAGTGGAAACAATGGAAAAGAAACATGGTGGTAAATCAGTAAAGCGCATGCGTGGAGACGCCAGCAAAGTGCAAGCCAGAGGCGCTGGTTTGAAGAAAATACGAACGAACCAGGTGCAGACCTTCTCCATCGACACCAAAGAAGCTGGTAATTATAGTTTTCCCAATTAAGTTGGCTTTGATGATCATGTATTCGGAAAGCAAATGTATGCCCATCAATCGCTTTGATAACGTGTATTGCATTGTTTCTTCTGTCTAAATCAAACTTTCAATAAGTTAAATGATACATGTGTAAATCGCTTGACAGACTCGTTAGTATCTGAGCGACAAAATTAACAAGCTCTGTTTTCGTTGTTTAAAGGTAGCGCTATGCTGTTCGTCGCTATGTGTGATCCCAAGGGTATTCCTGAACCCGAGCTCACTGTGAAGAAGAATGGTCCTACGCAATTCACAGTCAGCTACAAATGTCACGAAATAGGGGAGCACACACTCATGGTGAAATGGGGTGATGAGGATATTCCTGGCAGCCCCTTCATTCTCTCTACATAGATACACCACAACTCAAATCAGATGTACCATAATTTCTATGCAATGTTTGCCGACTCTTCCTGCACGAGTAGAGGGAACGTTATGGGTTTCTAAACACTTATTTTTGATATTGTGTATACGCTTGTACGCGTTGGAGTTTGTTAAAGAGTGATATTCCTGACCCGGACCGCCCTTAAGTCGTAGGCAACCATCCTCCGCCACCACACTTGTACTCAAATGTGCTCCAAATAAGTTCAGGTTTTTATTTATTTCATAGTAATATATATTTCGTTCATTGTTTGCTAATTTATTATTCATTAATATATGACGATGTCGAATTTTTAGTTTGTTTTAATATTAAAATATTTCTCTATATGTTTTTTAGACTGTACATGTAGGCTGGTTATTAATACTTGCGGTAGAAAAACAATGTTAGTACAATCATATTTCGAATCTGAGAAAAATTGCTGAAATTTTCACAATTATAAATATATTTTAGTTGATGCCAACATATTCACTGAGACATTCGACTTCGTATGGATTGTTGAAATAAACAAGATGTTTAGATCATTACATACAGTACGTTTCCGTGTTTTATTGTGCAGCCCCAGTCAATTTTTTATAAGGTTATGGACTTTTTTTTTATTCTACGAAAGGGTATCTGAACACAACGAAATAGAATAGGTTGTAAAACATAGGTAAAATACATGTCTTATTTATCGTATCCTTCTCTCTATTCCACTGATCTTGCTCTCTGATGATTATTGGTGAATATTCCATAGATCTTTGCAAGAAATATTCATTATTCATTTCTTAATTATATCTTATTTCAGGGGAAAGTATTGTTTCAGAAAAGACACTTGATGACGTCTTGTACATATTTTTGTTCGTAAAGATGAAGGATTTATTTTTTTACGGAACGCATCGGTTCAGTGAAACAAAATGAAGTATTTTTGTACACCTTTTTCATGAATATTCATAGAATAATCATCATATCACGAGTGCACAAAACAAGATAAATAACAATTATTTATATCGCCGTTTTGTTTATTTGGAAAAAAACGCTCTAAAAAGACGTTACTTCAGTTTGGTACGAGGTACAATAATGTTTAGAGTGGAAAGGTCAAATTTTTAAGTAACAGAAACATTTTGAAAAAAGGACACTCAAGACGGTTTAAAGTACATGTATATGGTAGGTGGTTGAAATACGAATGTATATGAATCAATGCTATAGCCAATGGATACTAATTTAAACGCACATCGTTATTTCATTTCATTTCATTTCAACAGATTTTATTGACTTTATATATGTCAATTGGATTGGACATCAGGCTAGGCCTATTTAAGGCCTTTCCAAACTTATTTACAAACATTACATATATTCTGTCATAACAATCCAATTAAACAGTGCAGGGGAGATAACTCCAATTTAGCTTGTGAAATTAACATTTTACAACTTTTATTTAATCATTTTCTGTTTATGTTTTGGATATTTATTGACAACCCATCCTACATAAAATTCAAGGGATACTGGCCCAAAAGTCTCTGTGTATAAACACATTGGCCATTCACCCACTGGATATATAGGATAAGTTACCAAGAAATAAACATTTTGCAAAATTTCAGAATATAATATGGATTCATATAGGAAATTGCAGCTATTATTATCTATTATTGGAGTTGATTCTCTTCAAATTTATTTAACAAAGCACTATAGAATATTCATGTAACTATGAAATAGTAAGAATCGGTTTTAGAATAGTACACTCATAAATTCCATCCAGTCCACAGCGTTATTAACAACAGTTACTTTGTGTCTAGAATATAAAATAACCTGACCGACTAACTGTTAAGTTTTGTGCAAATATGGGTAACGTGGTGATTTCTAAAAGTATCTTTGTTTAGGTAGTATACATAAATCATTAAGATGTCTTAGACTACACTCAATAGAAATAATCATTGGCTGGAACAATTAACCATGTGAATAGAAATATTGAAATAATTGCAAGCAAGACTTATCAAGTTAGATTAGTTTTGTTTTTGTAACCTATAAATATGGTTCAATGTAGGTTAGGAACCAAAAAAGAAATTGTGTTACATTTCAGCAAAGTACGACTTTAGGTTCACTTTCTCCCACGTTCAAGTAAAATGTTTTCCAACGATTAGAATATTAAAACTGAGTATGCATATGTTTTGATACAATACACTTTTGATTTAAATTGGTTTGATTCAAATTGATACAACTAAATTTTATCAAAGAATACGATGTTTATATGAAATTGTGAAGAAAGGCCTTTCAAAAAATCCATATGACCAAGCATTTATAAGATAAGGCAAATTAGCAATGAGCAATATCACCGTAGGTCGGAAAGCTACTAAAACATCTTGACTGTTTTTGTGAACTCTGTCTTGTAGATATAAACAGGTTGTGTCGTAAAATCCTATACGAGCTAATTCTAAATTACATTAATATAATGGTGTTACTATCTCCCCGTTACAACAACCGTGAGGACTGTTAAAATGGACTACAAGCAGGATGATGGCTTACACAGATAAAAGATGCTTTGTAGATGATTCCAAATACATGCAATGACAATGCCCTTTGTAATACATTGTTTAATATACTAATGCAATACATGCATATCGAAGAATCGAGCTCCAAAAACAGCACAGGACAACATTTAAGATAAAAAGTAAACACTTTCACTGAAGACAATAAAGTATGTAGTCTCGATCAAACTACCGGATGATGTAAACATAAGATAGAAACACACAGAGAAAACAGACAGCCATTGTATCTTTTACGCATATAAACTTATAATTACAGTAATACTCACTCTTAGGGCAAGAATGTGATTCATTCAACGAATAAGTTTTCCAGTCACGTCACAGTGTCACTCTTTGAAATACTTGTAGATAAGTATTTTATGAATTGCCGAAAATGACTTTACATTGGAATGACGAAATGGACAAGAAAGCATTTAAAGGCGTAATGTATACGACGAAGCCCTAAGAAGAAGCTAATGCGATCTAGTCCATCTCTAACCACAATAAAGGGAACAGTAAGGAACATGGGACAATAAAGACCATGAATGAGAGTGAACATAGGTCCCAGACACACGGGGTAATGCTTCGTGGCGATTCTACTTAAAAGGCTCTGGTTGAACGCAATTTGCCTAAATATACTCTAATACAAAACAGCAATGGGTGCCATATGTGTGTGACAGTTATCATGTCCCTGTGCCACTTCAAAAAATACAGATTTGATGAGGACTATAAAATACAATGCCACCATATATTTAGTTTGTTTGACGAAACCTATAAGTGTTAATATGACGTAGTAGGAGAGATAACTGTGACAAATAAAACCATTATTTATCAACATGTACTTAACGAGACCGGGATAGGTGAAAAGGACATCTTCTCATTGGTCAATGCTTCACGTCAGGATATGGATGGACAATAGCGGTAATCTTTATCGGTAGATTAGAAAAACGAATAAACATATAGATAAAATATGTCAACACGCTAAGACGGTAGTCAGTATAAACAAAATACAACAACACCAACACAAAAAAGGGAAAATAACAACAGTAATCGAAGGGACAGGAACTTAAAATGGAGGAAACAATAGGAACCAAAGAGATAAACACCAAATAAAAAACAACAGTGACCTAGGACACTGCAGATTGATTTAATTTGGTATGAGGTATGGTGGTATACAGAATGGAGAAAACAAAACAAAAGGTATTTAAAACAACGATGACGATTTGTGATTCTTTCGGGGATTAGCAGTATCACACAAAGTTTGAAGTCTTTTAATGTGGAATTGTGGTTTAAACTTTATTGTGGCATGGTGGTTCAGCCCATTGCTTTGGTTTGGTAGTTAAACTTTATTGTGGCATGGTGGTTCAGCCCATTGCTTTGGTTTGGTAGTTAAACTTTAATATGGTATGTTGGTTAAGACATTTATTGAGGTAATGTTATTAAGACGTTTACTGAAGTATGATGGTAAGAGTTTAAAAGTGGTTTGTCAACGTACACTGTGGTAGGATGTTTGATACTTTAACTGTGTTATGATAGTAAAAACCATAACAGTGCTATGATCAATAAGACTTGAACAATGGCGAAGTGGTTGAGGCTATAACAAATCTAATTTTCTATATGAGCCAGTTATATGGTATGGTGGTAAAGAGTTTTACTGCGGGGAGTGTGTTGGTATAGAGTTTCACTGTGATGAGTGTGTTGGTATAGAGTTTAACTGTGGTAAGTGTGTTGGTAAAAAGTTTCACTCTGGTGAGTGTGTTGGTAAAGAGTTTCACTGTGGAGAGTGTGTTGGTATAGAGATTCACTGTGGAGAGTGTGTTGGTAAAGTGTTTCACTGTGATGAGTTTGTTGGTATAGAGTTTAACTGTGGTAAGTGTGTTGGTATAGAGTTTAACTGTGGGAAGGGTGTTGGTAAAAAGTTTCACTCTGGTGAGTATGTTGGTAAAGAGTTTCACTGTGTTGATTGCGTTGGTATAGAGTTTCACTGCGTTGAGTGTGTTGGTAAAGAGTTTAACTGTGGTGAGTGTGTTGGTATATAGTTTCACTGTGGAGAGTGTGTTAATAAAGAGTTTCACTGTGGTGAGTAGGTTGGTATAGAGTTTCACTGTGGAGAGTGTGCTGGTAAAGAGTTTCACTGTGTTGACTGTGTTGGTAAAGAGTTTCACTGCGGAGGGTGTGTTGGTAAAGAGTTTCAATGTGTTGAGTGTGTTGGTAAAGAGGTTCACTGTGGTGAGTGCGTTGGTATAGAGTTTCGCTGTGTTGAGTGTGTTGGTAAAGGGTTTCACTGTGGTGAGTGTGTTGGGAAAGAGTTTCACTGTGTTGAGTGCTTTGGTATAGAGTTTCACTGTGGTGAGTGTGGTGGTAAAGAGTTTCACTGTGGAGAGTATGTTGGTATAGAGTTTCACTGTGTCGAGTGTGTTGGTAAAGAGTTTCATTGTGTTGAGGGTGCTGGTAAAGAGTTTCACTTTGGTGAGTGTGTTGGTATAGAGTTTTACTTTGGAGCTGTGGTGAGTGTGTTGGTAAAGATTTTCACTGTGTTGAGTGCGTTGGTTTAGAGTTTCACTGTGTTGAGTGTTTTGGTAAAGAGTTTTACTGTGTTGAGTGTGTTGGTTAAGAGTTTTACTGTGTTGAGTGTGTTGGTTAAGAGTTTTACTGTGTTGAGTGTGTTGGTTAAGATTTTTACTGTGTTGAGTGTGTGGGTAAAGAGTTTCACTGTGTTGAGTTCGTTGGTATAGAGTTTCACTGTGGAGAGTGTGGTGGTAAAGAGTTTCACTGTGGAGAGTTTGTTGGTAAAGAGTTTCACTGTGGAGAGTTTGTTGGTAAAGAGTTTCACTGTGGAGAGTTTGTTGGTAAAGAGTTTCACTGTGGAGAGGGTGTTGGTAAAGAGTTTCGCTGTGGTGAGTGTGTTGGTATAGAAGTTCACTGTGGAGGGCGTGTTGGTAAAGAGTTTCACTGTGGTGTGTGTGTTGGTAAAGAGTTTTACTTTGGAGAGTTTGTTGGTATAGAGTTTCGCTGTGGAGAGTGTGTTGGTAAAGTGTTTCACTGTGGTGAGTGTTTTGGTAAAGAGTTTCACTGTGTTGAGTGTGTTGATAAAGAGTTTCACTGTGGTGAGTAGGTTGGTATAGAGTTTCACTGTGGAGAGGGTGTTGGTAAAGAGTTTCACTGTTTTGAGTGCGTTGGTATAGAGTTTTACTGTGTTGAGTGTGTTGGTTAAGAGTTTCACTGTGTTGAGTGCTTTGGTATAGAGTTTCACTGTGTTGAATGTGTTGGTAAAGAGTTTCACTGAGGAGGGTATGTTGGTAAAGAGTTTCAATGTGTTGAGTGTATTGGTAAAGAGTTTCACTGTGGAGAGTTTGTTGGTAAAGAGTTTCACTGTGGTGAATGTGTTGGTAAAGAGTTTCACCGTGGAGAGTGTGTTGATAAAGAGTTTCACTGTGGTGTTCACTGGCGAAGTGGTTGAGGCTATAACAAGTCTAATTTTCTATATGAGCCAGTTATATGGTATGGTGGTAAAGAGGTTTACTGCGGGGAGTGTGTTGGTATAGAGTTTCGCTCCGGTGAGTTTGTTGGTATAGAGTTTCACTGTGTTGAATGTGTTGGTAAAGAGTTTCACCGTGGAGAGTGTGTTGATAAAGAGTTTCACAGTGGAGAGCGTGTTGGTAAAGAGTTTCACTGTGAAGAGTGTGTTGGTAAAGTGTTTCACTGTGATGAGTTTGTTGGTATAGAGTTTAACTGTGGTGAGTGTGTTGGTAAAGTGTTTCACTGTGGTGAGTGTTTTGGTAAAGAGTTTCACTGTTTTGAGTGCGTTGGTATAGAGTTTCCCTGCGTTGACTGTGTTGGTAAAGAGTTTTACTGTGGAGAGTGTGTTGGTAAGGAGTTTCACTGTGTTGAGTGCGTTCGTATAGAGTTTCACTGTGTTTAGTGTGTTGGTAAAGAGTTTCACTGCGGAGGGTGTGTTGGTAAAGAGTTTCAAAGTGTTGATTGTGTTGGTAAAGAGTTTCACTGCGGAGGGTGTGTTGGTAAAGAGTTTCAAAGTGTTGATTGTGTTGGTAAAGAGTTTCACTGAGGAGGGTATGTTGGTAAAGAGTTTCAATGTGTTGAGTGTATTGGTAAAGAGTTTCACTGTGGAGAGTTTGTTGGTAAAGAGTTTCACTGTGGTTAGTGTGTTGGTAAAGAGTTTTACTTTGGAGAGTTTGTTGGTATAGAGATTCACTGTGGTGAGTGTGTTGGTATAGAAGTTCACTGTGGAGGGCGTGTTGGTAAAGAGTTTCACTGTGGTGTGTGTGTTGGTAAAGAGTTTTACTTTGGAGAGTTTGTTGGTATAGAGTTTAACTGTGGTAAGTGTGTTGGTATAGAGTTTAACTGTGGGAAGGGTGTTGGTAAAAAGTTTCACTCTGGTGAGTATGTTGGTAAAGAGTTTCACTGTGAAGAGTGTGTTGGTAAAGAGTTTCACTGCGTTGAGTGCGTTGGTATAGAGTTTTACTGTGGTGAGTGTGTTGGTAAAAAGTTTCACTCTGGTGAGTATGTTGGTAAAGAGTTTCACTGTGGCAAGTGTGTTGGTAAAGAGTTTCACGGTGTTGAGTGCGTTGGTATAGAGTTTCGCTGTGTTGAGTGTGTTGGTAAAGATTTTCACTGTGTTGAGTGCGTTGGTTTAGAGTTTCACTGTGTTGAGTGTGGTGGTAAAGAGTTTCACTGTGTTGAGTACGTTGGTATAGAGTTTCACTGTGTTGAATGTGTTGGTAAAGAGTTTTACTGTGGTGAGCGTGTTGGAAAAGAGTTTCACTGTGGTGAGTGTGGTGGTAAAGAGTTTCACTGTGGAGAGTATGTTGGTATAGAGTTTCACTGTGGAGAGTGTGGTGGTAAAGAGTTTCACTGTGTTGAGTGCTTTGGTATAGAGTTTCACTGTGGTGTTCACTGTGGTGAGTGTGTTGGTGTAGAGTTTCACTGTGGTGAGTGTGGTGGTAAAGAGTTTCACTGTGGAGAGTGTGGTGGTAAAGAGTTTCACTGTGGAGAGTTTGTTGGTAAAGAGTTTCACTGTGGTGTGTGTGTTGGTAAAGAGTTTTACTTTGGAGAGTTTGTTGGTATAGAGTTTAACTGTGGGAAGGGTGTTGGTAAAAAGTTTCACTCTGGTGAGTATGTTGGTAAAGAGTTTCACTGTGGTGAATGTGTTGGTAAAGAGTTTCACCGTGGAGAGTGTGTTGATAAAGAGTTTCACTGTGGTGAGTAGGTTGGTATAGAGTTTCACTGTGGTGTTCACTGGCGAAGTGGTTGAGGCTATAACAAATCTAATTTTCTATATGAGCCAGTTATATGGTATGGTGGTAAAGAGGTTTACTGCGGGGAGTGTGTTGGTAAAGAGGTTCACTGTGGTGAGTGCGTTGGTATAGAGTTTCACGGTGTTGAGTGTGTTGGTAAAGAGTTTAACTGTGGTGAGTGTGTTAGTAAAGAGTTTCACTCAAGGGATTGTGTTGGTATAGAGTTTAACTGTGGAGAGTGTGTTGGTATAGAGATTCACTGTGGAGAGTGTGTTGGTATAGAGTTTCACTCTGGAGAGTGTGTTGGTATAGAGTTTCACTAAGGAGAGTGTGTTGGTATAGAGTTTCACTGTGGTAAGTGTGTTGGTATAGAGTTTTACTTTGGAGAGTTTGTTGGTATAGAGTTTAACTGTGTTGAGTGTGTTGGTATAGAGTTTAACTGTGGTGAGTGTGTTGGTAAAGAGTTTCACTGTGGTGAGTGTGTTGGTATAGAGTTTCACTGTGGAGAGTGTGTTGGTATAGAGTTTCACTGTGG